CTTGTTCGTGATTAAACACGATCATATTAAGACTAGAAACATACAAAAGAATAAAGTGTTTTAACTCATTCACCTCTAAAATTTCATAATGAACTAGTCCAACCTTTGAATTGGATGAGTTCAAATGTGTCGTTATAGGTAAATGAGTTAATGAACATATACTTTAATATTTAAATCAAAAGAGATTATTGGGAACTTGTTAAGTTAACAATTCTATAGTCATGCTGACTCTATTGTTACCATGGCGTTCCCCTCGCAGTGGCTATCTTATCTTCATGGTATTTAACCGAGCTCGATCAAGGTTTAGTATTGCAAGGTGACATAGAGCAAGTGTTTGTTGTGGTGGAGATCACGATAATACAAGATAGTAGGCACTCCCTCACTTGCATTACCCTGGAGAGAGATTGGAATTCCCCATAACCGTCTTATTGTCTTATCGCTATGATGTAACAGAAGTTATCTGGTCACTTTTCAGATCCCCAATGGTAAGTCATAAGTGCTTTCGAAATTTGCTTCCACAATATGATCTTGTTGCCTCTCGAGTGCTTCTTCAAACACTTAAGATTTCTAATTTACCAAAACTATGCCAAAGATATTGGCACTTTAGGTGAGTTTTGATTTATAGCCATACACCAACTGGTTGCAATTCACACACTATTGAGAATAGATTTTAGAAAAAACAATTACCAATATTTAACATACGTTAATTTTGTTTTGATCAATAGAAATTATTTTTATGCAGCACTCAAGAGGCAACCATCAGACTTCAAGATGTGAAATCCAAAAAATCTAATTAAAGTAACGGTACGAAAATATAAAACTTGTAAATAATGAGTTGATACGGAATTTCACTCTTGCTCCCCAACATCTTTAGAAAAATGAGAAAGAAATAATATGGCAATGTTTGCTATGTAGCGATCCACTCCTTATTAAGAAAACTATCCTGTTGCTTGTTATTAATTTCACCAGGGAAATCCCTAGATAAAAATAGGAAATGAATGTGTAGTTTTGATATAACTTATTCCTAGATTTGTTTGAAATAGTTACTGATTAATCAAGTTTTGCATCGTATGGTGTTTATTTGAATGTATTTCTCTAGTCAGTATTTGTCACCTTACACATCAACTGTACGACTGATTCACGACAAAGTGTAGCGTCTGTCATGTGATCAGATAGATTTAGACGTTAACTGTTCACTTGAACACTATCATTGTAGCACAGTTTTCACTGTCAGTAAACATAACAATAACACACTTTGTATACGCCCTTTATTTTATGTTATTATCAGCAGTTACAACTGAGTATTAAATGATATTCTCGGAATACAGAATAAATTTGTGGTATACTTAGCGAACACGTACAATGTACAGTTCACTGTTTTATGGTTTTGTAAAGTTATTGTTTGGTGTTGTTTTGTAAATGTATTTTCTGTATTATCGGCAGCCTTTGATATGTGGAATTTGAATTTAGTTGTTTATTGTTGTTTGCATGCATCCCTATATGTGTTTATCTCCGTTAAACCTTTGGAGATAGGTCATTCAGATTGTTATATTTACATTTGATTTTTTCCTGGTGTGCTCCTTTGTGGTTTACGTATGTTTCGTTAAATCACAATTTATTAAATTATTACTGATTTATTGTGTAACGCAAACATGTTTTCGTTCATAAATAATTAGACGTTAATTGCAAAATAACGCAGGCAGCAAATATGAAAGTTGTAAACAAAATTCAAGTCTAGTAAACACTAGAAAACAGTAGAAGAATCAAGCATTCATTTATCAATGACGTAGTTCACTTGATATAATTACGAGGAAAACGATCCAATAAATCTGTTTTCGATACAAGAAAAAAGCTAGCTTATCACTTTCTGACACCTCCTTGGTAAATCAGGTTCCAGTAATGCTATTGATGATATGAAAATCATAATTATAGAGGCCATGTTGCCGTTACGTAAGGCAGGTTAACAGACAACACACACATGTGTCTCTTAGAGCAGCTCGGCAGAGGCAGCTAAGTAACAACTCAATCCTTGGGCTTAAAGCTGACAGTGCAAGAGAACCAACGAGCTTTCTCAATAAAGCATATTCTACACCGAGACATCTCCTGGTATTTATATGTTATATGCACGTAGACATAGGGTTAGCGGTTCTATTGTAATTGTTTAGCACGAGGCTTATCGGCGAAGTTTTTGGAAAAGAATATTGATGGTTCGCAACATCCATGTCTGTAGTGAATCCCGCGTACAACTCGTTTTTGGAAAGGTTCTGGATGGTTGTTTATCGGCACTCGTGTTTATCAGGTCACGCACCAGGGACCATCCTATTTGCCCGTTCCCTCAGTGAAATACATTATCATTAATTTGTACATTGATGATTTGTCTGAGATGACGCAAGAACTGCACTCAAAGACTTCCTTATCATGTTTACAAATGTAATCACTGCATAAATGTTTGTAACGATATCTACTTATTTTCAGACTTTTGCGTCATATTTGAATGACGCCTGAATTAAGGAACAATTAGACATATTTTATGATGAATTAATATACGTTGAAAGCATGAATATACATGAGTATGGAGCTAAGTTCACACGTTTATCAATTATCATTATTTGACACCGTTGTCACCCGATTTTAATACAATTTACATCCGGGATTTTTCAGCATAGCACACAAGTGATTTGCATAAGAAACATCTCTCTGACATTTTATTACATATAAATCAGAATTTTACATGCTTTCAATTCATGCATTCTAGTATTCGTTTCAAACATGTTAAGACTAATCTTAAAAGTCCTAATTGAAAAAAATAGTTTAATTGTTTTAGACAGTTGCGAAGCGTAGGAAAAATTAAAGTAATAAAAAAGAGGATATGAATTTTAATTAAGGATCCTGTCCCACTGAATGCAGACCCCTGTATTTTTTTCAAACCTACAATAACCTCCTCTTGATTTCGTTTGGTATAGTTTTAGTTGGCCTGTATGTAGAGAAACAGCTCTGATAAGGTAGCTCAGTTTGTTAAAGCGAGAACATTCAACTACCGCGAGGTACGTTTCTTTTCAGAAATGACTTAAAACTATTTTATGCCAGGACAATTCATGGTTTAAGTTTTTAGCAGTGGGGCGGAGCTCCTTAGCATCAATAACATCATCTGCCGATATTTTATTGGAATCAATGGGGACAAGTTATTTATTTATAACATCGGCACACTTAAACTGTAGATACCGTCACATAAATGCCATGTTCCTGATACTGATACGTATGTGGTCGTTTATTTGAAGGTAATGGTGTGGGAATTCCTGCAATGATCTACTGTATGTATATCTTTGGAAGAGTGTGGAAAAATTGTGGGAGTGATCTCCCATTGTCTAATAAAACCACACTTGTTCTCCCTCCTCCCTTTCTAATGCTTATAACGGAGTCATAGCTTCGTTATACACTAAACCCTAAACAGAATTGTTCTCCCCAGTGCTAGCGGAATATATATATAGTAAAATATAATATAAACCTATTATATACTATGTATACTCACTATTTGAACGTCGTGTTTGTTTGTTATGTATGAACCATGAATCACAAAAGATAGAATGTCTTGTGTTATTTACATGTTGATTGTGTGAGCATGTACAGATATCTAGTAATATCAAGAACAAATTTCAACAATGTTAGGATAAAGATAACACCAACGTCGTCTATCCCTGAGTGGTTTAAACCATCAGCCTTGTTTTTGTGTTGGCTTCTGATGTTATTTTACTGACTACATTATGTTTTTGTTTATAATAATATCAACAGAAATTGAGAATGATTTGAATAATCAGAGGCGAATGAAGGTTGTGAGTAATTTCTTTGAAGTGTTATGTTCATTGTTATCCCTAAACAAAGTGTCTGTTCGTCACAGCATACATACAATAACACGCGTTCAATTCCAGAACCAGTGTTGCATTGGGTATCAACCACCAACAGACACTGAAAAAAATCAAATTTGACTAAGGTTGTAACAAAACCCTAATACAACTGAACGCAGAATCTGCATTCGTTATTGAATAAGGTATTTAATAGGCATGTTTATTATTCAGTATGCTTTGACGAACAGATTCCAGTTATTTTTCTAAGTGAGCATGCCATTGTAAGAGAACGGGTGAAGGTTTTTTTTATTCAACTATCTGTTAAAGTCGTCCGAGTTAGAAATATAGTCTCTTTAGAGATGTGTCCTACTTTGTCCCACACTAACATCTGCAATATAATGATCTGTTATAATCTCCTGATTTAAATATTTTGAAAGCGTGATGAAATTGTGTCTTTTAAAAATTACGACTTAAAGTTAATTAGCTGACTTAATTTTGAAAGTAATATAATTTCCTATTTATGATGGTTATGAAATTGATTCTGCGGTTGACATGGCAGCGTGGTAACCGTTGTAAACTGAAGACATATTACTTATAGTAAAGAATGAGGACGATAACGTAGGCTCAGCAACAACCCCCTTGTACACTTATCTTTAACCAGGCAGAGAGTGTCCTGTGTTGTATCCTCGACTAAATTGAGTTTTACACTAACTTAAGAATAGCAATTCACAATAGCAAGGGAATATATACGATAGAACTATGTACTACTATATTTTCACTTTAGCAATACTGCAACAGGTATTTAATCCCGGACCTCTTGATTGTAAGACAGGAAAAAAAAATTCTTTGAGCTATCCGATGTGATAGATGAATTATTGGAAATAATTTTGAAAAGTGTTAACACTTTCAAAAAACCAATGCAATTCAATATAACCCATAATTAAATATGTATAAATATAGAAGATTTAACATAAGTTTAGCTGGAAAATATTGTTTCAAACCTTGAAGAGTGATATAACTCTCTACCTTAAACAGAATGTTTAACGGAAGAACGGTTTACATATGAGAAACAGAACACTGGGTCAGTAGGTTTGTGATTATTTAAGACGTATTATTATAGGTATCACGTGTCAATGAAAGTGTTTATTTTTCCTACAGAACAATATGAGATGTTAGATCACCAGTCGATAAGACTGTGGCGTCACCAAGGTATTTTATTGACTTCTGCTCACCGACAACTGTGTCCTGTCAGGGACAGTTATATAATATTGTGTTATTTTTCTCTTGATTTACATAATAAAGTATTGTCAGTTTCACTGCATGGTTTCATGAAAACGTTCACTGCTGTTAGCTTACCCATTCCAGAAGGAATGGTTTCCTAGTGAAATGAATTGAAAGGAATTGCTAGTCATGACAAAATTAATTGAATGATTGCCAGTTTTCTTCATCTGTGCACGACTAGATTAAACAAAATCAGTGCACTCCTTACTGAACATTTTTTACGTGCACGTGTATTTTACAGGGAAATGGTGTAATATCTTAATACATTTACGCATGTGGTCTCAAGTCAGGTTTTCTGCATGTAGTTTATTGATTTAGAATAGTTTAAATCATTATATACAGATAATTTACAGTATTCTATAAAACTAGAACGCCAGAATTGTTTTACTTTCATGTTTTTGTGTCAAACTTAAATCCCTGATGCATATTGATATTTTGTGTGATACTGTTTAGACGTTAATTATATACGTCATCCCCCCTTTCGTACATATTCCTTTATATCGCCTTAACATGTATTCACCATCTATTCATCTAGGTATCGATTGATGCGTTTCTACTTAATTCCTTTCGATTTTGAGACATATCAAAATATACCATTTCATATTTACTACTGACGTCCTGTATGTGAACAATTATACGCATGCATTCCCCTTTTACTATTAGCTGGTGAATATACTTTAGCTTTATCTCGAATGTATTTACCTTGTCAGCACAAATCCTAAAGTAATATGAATATTCTGTACATGTATATAAATTTATGTATATAAAAATATAACATTTAAAGGAAGATCATACGTATCAAGGTAACGTATTTATATGTATGATCTCTACATCATCAAATTTATAATTCAATTCTCAATCAAGACAATCCTATGTTTGACTAGTAACAGAAGACCACCGAATTATATGTTACCACTGTTTCAGTGTTCTAAGGTCACAGAGTAGGTTATAAGTAAAATATCGTTGTACATCTTTTTATTGCTTTTAAACAACAAGCAAGTTGTCATAATTTAATAGGCATCGGTTTAAAATATATATGTATGATCTTAAGTCAATTGCAAAATCAAAAAATATTATATACTTTAATTCTTTCAACATGTATTTTTATTTGTTGTTGATAATTTTCGGTCATGGTTGAATTAAACGTTGAATTAAACGTTTATTTCAAAGGGGGGAAAAACTAAGAAAGCCTAAGAACCTGATCATCACAGTACTGTTTGCTGTTGTGATCCTCAATGTTGTTGTATATCTGCTTCCTCCTGCTAGCCTTGTTTATAATGGGTATTGTGATATTATGATGTATATCTTACTGTATGACTTACTTACTTACAGATACCGTGTGCGAAAGCTCCCCAAACCCACTGCGGCGAATCTCAACCTTCATAAGTTCCGTTCGAGGCTCAAGATCTGATGAGGTGGGGTCTCACACAGTGAGAGGACATCCCATTGCCCGCCAAATATCAACAGATTCTTCGTATAAACTTCTACATAAGCTAACTGGTAAAACCAAAGCAAAGTCCGGCAGCTCTGTCATACGACGAGATGGTTCAGTAATTCTTGTAAAAAACGGCAAAATCATTTCAATGAAACTTGATACAAAATTACGAAAATCTGACAATGATGACGTGTTCGTGTCGAGTCCGTCAACTGCCGGTTCTAACGGTTCTAAAATAATGTGTAGTAGTCCGTCTGGTGGCTTGGAGGTCTTACACGAACGAGATTCGGATGGATATTCTACTGATGATCGGCCGATGTTTCCGAATGGACGATCGAACAATAAAAGCCGGCAGTTATTGTATCCGAATGGAAACTCGAACACGTGTAATTCTCTATCCGATGATAGCGATTGTGATTCAATTCAGAATAAAGAACACTCGCCTCGTTCGAAGTCCCACCTCGGCGATCTATTGCAAGATGCTGATATCGAAATTAATATATTGGAGGATAAGATGTCAGAAAAATTTAAAGACGATTCCAAATCGCTAAATAACAATACGGAGACAAAGTCACCGGCAGAAAAGAAGAAATTGTGTCTCCTTCCCTGGACAAAGGGGCATATGAATCGCAAGAGGGACACATCAACTTATTTAAATACTACTCTTAAGGAAAAGGACAAAAGGGTGTATGCCAAAAGTTCGGATGCCATATACTCTGTGCCACTTCTTAAAACCTCGCCTGCTGAAGTTACAATGGCTCCCGTAGTAATACGTCATAGCTCTAGCTTTTCAAATGGCTCAGCTTTTCCGTCTCCTCCAAGTAACCTCCCTTTGTCAGAGCTCTCCTCAAATCCAAATATATCGAGTGGTCCTTCCTGATGTTTATTTCAGATGGCCGTACATTTGTGTGTATACTGTCATACGTGTTGCTGTTGTAATAAATGTCTCGAACAAAGTTCCTATTTTATGAAAGAAAATATATGTCTCGAACAAAGTTCTTATTTTATGACAGAAAATATATGTCTCGAACAAAGTTTTGATTTTATGATAGAAAATAATCATGTATATAGTTAAATCTGAAAAATTACCCGACCATTACTCACATTTTTTGTTTGTTTTTGTTTTAAGAATTGGTATGTGTGCTCTTTTTAGTTGCGCAGGTCACAAAAATGAAAGATAACACATGACCAAATACAGCCCTGCGTGCAAACAGGTTAAGTACAGCAAAACTATTACGGATCCCTGTTCCACAGGGCAAAACGCTAGATATTTCAACTGCAGTTGTTTTATTTACATGCAATTACCTCACTTTACTTTCGTTTTTGATAAAACTGTAGCTCGAATTGGCCATAATACTATCTTCGTCTAGATAGTATAAAAGGTAAAAAGATTTATAATTTAATAGATATATTCATACAAGAACATAATTTCTAATGCATGTAATCCTTAAATAAAACCGTTTTTTTTGAAATGTAAAAAGAATCATTTTTTTCTTATGCAAGTTTTCTTACAAAACATTTCTTAATCACATGCATACTTTGTTTTTAAAAAGTGTATGATTTCCTACTCAATTCAACTACGTATGACAATCAAATAACCTAACTAATATATATGATGTTGTTTTACATTGAATTATATAATAATAATCAGACCAAAGATTCTTAGTTAACTACATCAATCAATTTTATCAAATATATTAATTAACAAAAGCTTGTATTTTATTCTGGTCATGTTTATTATATTATTAGTCCCGCTTGTTATGACTATTTTAATGGCAGCAACGAGACCAATTTGACGTCACTCTCGTCAAACATTTGCCCGTACATGTTAGTTAGGGGGGTACGATACACTACAAATTGTACTATGATTTTGATAGTGTTATCTCCCTTAAATCACCCTATATTAATTTCATTCAGCTTTTTTTGAAATTTAAAACTTTTTACCATAGATTACTACAATATTATCAATGTACAGAGTTTACCCTTTGAAAGGTGTCATACAGCGCTTAGCCATCTTGAAATTATCATTGATAGAAAAGTGTTGATGCATTTAGTTTTCTCTTTTTGAAATTGCACTTCACAGTCAGGTTGCATTAGCAGATATCAAGGAAACACGGATTGCCACGAACTAATCGGTACATACTTTGCCAAAGTCCGGTCCGACCTATCATTTGTAAATCGCTGACCTTATTTGACCCTTTGTTGTAACGAATATTGTCACTTCGGATCGATTTAACTTGTAATCATACGACATGGTTGATTGAAGAAATAAACTTATTGTTTTCGTGACAGAATAATTAATATATTTTGTCGATATAATTGTAACATGATATTTACGCGTACAAGTTGCCAAGTTTTAGGCTAGGATATCTTTAATATAATATGAACAAGTTGTTACAGAAATCATTGCATTTGTTTTTGTTAATTTCGGGAACAATGGTGTCAGTTTTAATAATTTCAACTCATTGTCCCTGGAGAACAGTGCATTTGGCATCAGCAATTGTTTAAGTTTAATTTTATTTGGAGATTTAATTTGAGCTTTCATACTTAGAGTAGCGTCTGGAGCTTTTAACCAGACAAGATCTTTTATCAACATCTGTGTTAACTGTGCATTAAAAATGTACAGATTCCTGTACTTTTAAACAACTAGCTACGTTACGTTTATAAAACACACGAGTACATTAATAAACCTGGTTTTTTAATGTCTATAAAGTTGTTATGTTTTTTAAATAAGTTCATACAAGTGTTAATAGTATCTTTTTGTGACACAATCAAGATATAGCAAGCTTACCATTCTATTTTATTTCTCTCAAAAAGACGAAAACATGTATTTTGAAATCACAAGTTTAATTTCTATCTCTCCACACATCTTCTGATGTCTCGAGACAATCTTAGAGCTAAATTATTGAAGTTTTGATAAGAAAAAGCCTTCTTTTTTTTGCAACTTTTCGGAGTGTTGTTTCTTTTTTTTTTTGTTCTTCTTTATTATTTTAATTTCACTTTTATATTAAAATGTGTCAATAACATTATTTAATATTTACTGTATTTTATCTTTAAACATTTTGTTAAAATATTTATCATAAATCTAGCAATGCATTTCCAAAACACCAATTTACTTATTGCAACGAAGATAAGGTAACGAATGTTCTTTCCCCAAATGTTTACCTTGTTCTGTACATCTGCCCCGCATAACTTATTGAACTTTTATAATAATATAACCTCCGCGTATATCTCAGCTTTATGTGAGAAAGAGCGTCACCTTACCACGTGATCGACTTTATATCGGGTTATGTCAAACAAGATCAATATGCAACATTATTTTATCATAACAATATTTAAATATTTAATATTCTAGGCAAGTCAGTATTTATTTAAACAACACAAACATTCTATATAAACAGCTTGTACTTTGTTCAGTTCCTAACGACAGAAGTAATGTGTTCTGTAATTTAAACTTAGCATGTGTTTGTTGATGAAATTGATGTTCATGGGTTTGAATTTTATACTGTAAAGTACTTAAGGTAAAGGGCACCACTTACTTAAATCATACTATTTCCATTGTCAATATTGTGAAATGTTTAGGTCCATTCATGTGATGCATTTTAGCGATTAAAGTAAAAACAAAAATGAGCGGAACTCTTATTCGCGATTATAACGAATGCCGTGGTTCCCTTTACCTTAGTTACGGTTAAACATTCTTATTCCGCAAATACTATATACTCGTGTAAATCTGCGGGGGGAGGGGATCTCGAATTCACATATCTCTCAGCTATTCATCCTGACTCATCTGAAAAAGATTTATATATAACGATATATTGGCAATCATTTTACAGGTTTAAATCTTTGTGAAGTTTGCAAGATTATACTAGTTTACAGTACTGAGTACATGTTATTACTACTGTTTGATTAAGATAATATGTCGTCACACCAAAATAGTTGCTGTACATGTTATGTTGCTCTCATGTATAGTGACGCCTTGATTAAATGTCCCTCATCTTATCTGTCACCTTTAGAGGTTGTCCGTTTTCTGTTGTCTCCTTCCACACATTGATCAATCCTTCGCTTTCCCATTGATATGTTGTTATCCCTCTCCCTTATCCTTCAAAACGTCGTTATAGGGAAGTAGAGACAGATTAGCGAGGCTAGTATGTAATATGTCTTGCTGATGATGTTAAAACGTGCTGATATCTGTGGAACGTCACTAGCCATTTAAAGACGTGTCTAGCAGATGTATGTGTGTATGTTCGTGTCTTGTGAGCAATGTGACTGTGTTAGACGCTGTCTCATGTTTAAATAAAGATATTAATAAAACACTTTAAACTGATTGTGTACTTTTGTCGGGTGTCGTCTGCTCATTCTTTATTTTGTATCTATTATTAACACATTACATCTCCAGCATACAACCAAGCATACGCCTACATGGGGAGATATTAGCCAGGTGGCACAGGACTAGTAGTTAGCGCCTGATAAGGCAGCTCCTCCTCAATATTGTATCGATTCATGTGTATGTTGATTGTATAAATTGTATATCTATGTACTGTAAAGCGCGTTAGAGTGGCTTATGTAATCTAGATTGGGCGCTATATAAAATGGTGTGTATCATTAAGTCGCACAAACGGTAAAACAACTCTCTTTTACTAAGAAGTCGTTTTCCCATACGAGTATCTTTTACCCTATTACTCAATGAAAAAATGATAAAAACCAAACAATGCTGCAGTTTGCAGCAGCTATCATAAACTATTCGTAACGGTTGAACACATTCTTATCAAGTTGCTTCAAAATTCACAACGCTTAAGTAATTTAATTAAAGCTTTTATTTAAATAAAAACATAAAAATAATGATAAATTGTCAAAACGAAATATTGATCTTCATGAGAAATCTATCCACTAGTGGTCGTTGTATGACGTCACAATAAAACAATTACATGACGTCTAATTCAGTAAGTCAATGAAACTGCTGACAGATATATAATAAAAAAAACAGGTTTGCGTGATACGAATTAAATATATATATATCTGAAGATATCGATTTAATTAATATCGAAGGAAACACTTGCAGAAATAAAACAATATGACGTGGTATAGCTACAACATCATAAAGAATAAGTAACTTAATGCAATTACAGTAATTAAATAATAAGGATCTTAATTAGTTAGTCTCTTCAGGTAGACACGATGTAACATAAACTGAAATAAGTATGTCGGGTGAAAGTCCTACGAGGGGATGGATTGAAAGGCTATTGAACCCTAGGCCACAACCTTGGCAGACGAGTAGATACACACTCTTTGTCTCCTCTAACTGGGAGCTTACTGCGTCTCTCAGATGTTCAGTACTGATCAGATAAACTATGTAAGTAAGCAAAAATGATCAGATGAATTGTGTAAGTACAAATGTTCAGCAATGCAAGCATAAGGGTGGCTACAATCAGTACACGTTTGTTACTGCTGTTTTACGGTACAAACATCGATTTCTGTGTACCGGTCCCTTTATACAACATATCTAAGGAAGACCTTTGGAGGACATTGAAAAAGGATTCTGATGAAGACATTTAAACTATTAAATGTTATTGTACATTTGTTCATTTTTCGTAGAAATGCATACAAATAGACAAATATTTATGTTAAAAATACCTATGTGTACATTAAGGTAACTCGTTTTTCATTATAAAAAACAACAATAAACAAGCAGTTATTGAAATACAACAATAAAGGAGAAATAAGTTCATTTTTGTATGCCGTATTACGTGTATAATTTCTTATCAACTATATTCAAGAGTGATTGAATGTACGCATTTATGTTTCTAACATCATGAGTGGGCAGGTTTAAACATACAACATGATTAAAAATAGCGGCATGTTCACGTTATTACATCAAACACTGCTGTATGGTAATCTACATATGTAGCTCATTATATCGGTAAATATACAGCATTAGTGGGAGTTAATAGCTGTTGTGCGGCCGCTGCTTTTCTTACGGACGCAGTGGAGCTGTTTTTTGCGTTGGAGTTAAAGATATAACAACATATACAATGAACCAAAGCGTCAACGAATAGTTACATATTATACCATTTCATCGACACTGCGGCGTTGACAAAATTGAATATAGCACAGGGTGAACGTAAAAACGTTAACATATATCACAGCGTCAACAAATACACAATGGCAAGCGTAATATATCACAGCGTAAATACAAAAAGGCTAAACCTTTCATGTAAACACACACAATGACAAACTTTAGTATTACCCCGTTGACAAACGATGACAGTATATCACAGTTTCGGGGGTAAAACATAATCGACAGCGTCAGGAGAACGACAAATGTATATCACACCTTTATTACACCGAGACAAAATATATCATACATGAAGCGTTGTCACAAAATGACAAAACAAATAGCGTCAACATACAAGGAAAACAGATATAACGTCACAACAAAAAATGGCAAAACATATAGTGTCAACATACAAGGAATTTTTTTATAACTTCAACACAAAATAACAAAAAAAATATAGCGTCAACACAAAATAACAAAAAATATAGCGTCAACACAAAAAGACAAACATAGCGTCCGAACACAAGGAGAACTTAACCACGCCATTTACGGTTCATGTCTAAAGAAACAACGAAATGATAACATATCACAGTGTCAGGACGCAAGAAGGGAATATAGCATGGCGTTAATATCCTATAGTAACAAAGTATACCACTGAATTGACAATATCGGACCTCAAAGTTAGACACAAAAAACAAGAACCGAGGAGAAACCAAAACAACCATACGAACTGACGGGGAATAAAACGTCAAGAGTATATATCATAAGATCAAAAGTTAAATAGAAATTTCACAACAACTGGCAATTGTTCATCATGATGAATAATGGTTAAAGGGTTGAACAAATTTATTCTTCAAAGACAAGGACATTGCCTTTTGATCGGCATTGTAGATTTACAATATATTAATAATACGTTATCTACATGTAACCTACGAGCTTCAGAAATAATCGAAAACCACAAGTTCAGTATTTTATTTTCATATCTAAACACACATCTCTTCATATATCAGTTAAGAGTCATTGTCAAACGAATAACAAAAGGACTCGTGTTTTCATAAGTTGTCCTATATACATGGTTATACTTAGGTTATACTCCACAACACGACATTTTGGCAGTGTTTAAATACTTACGGCTGTTACAAGTACAAAAGAACAACAAAAAATAATGCACAACTAATATTAGTGTCTGTAGCTGACTAATATTTACAGGAGTCTGCTATTTAGGAAACATTTTACATGAATAAATTGTGTTCTTAAAGCCACGAAACAAAGTACAGATACTAGATCTTAGCATCTCAATGATACATTGGCAATACCTTGTTGTCTAGGGGATATTAATTAACTTATCTCTGTTAAAAGATAGAAATCCAAGCCAGGAAATCAGTTATACAAACAGGAAAACCTTGCACATTCTGAATCACAGCTAATTTGTTATCGTACGAAAATGATAGAGGAAGGACAGTACTCATTACACGTAATGATAATCTATTAACAGCGGGAGACAAAACAGTTAAGATTTTGCCAAAATTTCTACACAATATGTGGTCTTTCATACAGACCATTTTTTTCTGGACAGTTCTCTACCTCAAAAGTACTGTAAGACCTCAGATGCTGAGAACATGATGGATATTTGTTGCCGTGTTAATTTATAGTTTGCTAAATCTAATTTAACGTTGCATTAATTCAAAATGTGTATTTCTGATTGTTTGCCAGTATTTCAAACTAGATATTAAATCCGTATATTGAAACTTGATGTAGCATTATGGAATGTGCACTGGGAAAATAAAGGTGACGTCACAAAAACATGATTTCATTCATTTAAAATGCATGCATTAGTATCAGTGTTCCCGTTCTCCCACCGTATTTCGCCAATGAATATACGTTCTATGAGAGACAACTCCATCATATAATACACGATTCAAGAGAAGCCATTGTTTGACATCACCCTACCATCAGGCATGAAACAATGGTAACAGAGGCATAATTTATCTTATACAATAAATCACACAGTTCAGTTGCATTCCTATGAGAATTTTTACAAATAACTTGGAAAGTCCCATAGGTGTGTGATTGGATTCTGTAACAAAATTCAGGGAGTTTGATTTTCTACTGCCTTTCGTTACTGTCAGGCTGCCGACATCCAGTCTATGAACTTGGTCGGATCACTGCAAATACAGAAGGAATTTATTAGTTGAAATAACAAAGGGAGATATATTCGAGACAAAAGTAAAAGTATTATGCTGTATAGCACAAGTTTTCTAGAATATTTGCCTGGTTGTATTTCATGTATATATATATATATATCTTTATTCGTCTTGTTTTAAATGGTTTTCTCTCGTAAATTTATGAAAAAGTATCGTAAGAAATGTGGGTGGTTTACAGATTAAGAGAACTCAACTAAGATCTTCGAATATCTTTTTCTATTCATCACGTTTAGATAGTATGTCAAAATGAATGGAGTATTTTTCACAACAGGGGGTTGGCCTGCTACAGGAAACAGTAATAAGCCTTAAAGGGCAGCAGAATACATAAAAAGATGTGTTATAAGTAACAATGTTTATAGCCGATTAATTCCATATTTATCTTTCCCTTCTTGGTTTCCAAGATAAATGACAAACAGGATTCGAAAAGGAAAGCTTATATATGTATAAAGCAATACCACACGTTTATTTACCAAAGCATACATAACGTACGAGCTTGTAATATGGACGATTTTGTACGTCTGCTCAATAAAAGGAAACTACAGTGTATCGATGAAAACAGATAAAGACGTACGCGAAATATCACTTTTAGTATAAACTACATTCATTTTTGAAAAAAACAAACACTTCAATAACTATTATCTCGAGGTTGTGAAAACCATTCCTCCAAAAACCTAAACCGAACTACAATGGCGGATAAAACGACGTCGGGGCGGATAGATAACGTCATGTTATCTAAATAAGCATGTTTGAAATTGTAGGATTGCTAGCAAATCATAGTTCCATGTTCTACGGTTATAGAACTTTCCTCTGTTAAGCATTGTCTTTATTGACATATTAAGGTTTCCAGGTATGTAACTAGTATTACCAGTCCGAAAATTAAAATCACTCTTCTTCTCCTGATATCACCCGATTATTTGTTACCATGACTTCAACAATATCCATTCTAGGCAGTAAGCATGTCATTATTACACACGCTACGTACATACAAAATATAAAACCTAGGACAACGCATGATATTGCACCTTTGGTCATTTGAGAACGTATACCAAAAATGAATCGCAAAGCAACAATTATCGTTGCTGATAGGGGCCAACAGGTGGTAGTCCAAACAAAAAAACAACAAAAAAGGGTGGGTGGGGGGTGGGGGTGGGGGCATAAGCCCGTTAATTATATGAATTTCAAACATTACAAGAGTTTACATTAGTAAATTCCTAGCTGTCAGTGGCGCAGTGGATAGCGCTTGCTTTTCACCAAGGCGGCTACGTGGGTTTTATCCGAGTACTCCGGTTTCCTCCCACACTCAGACCCCTCCCCCCCCCCCCCCACCCCCCCCCCCCCCCCCCCGCACGCTTACATAACCAGGCCAATAAGAGTGATTAATATAATCATAATTGTTGTAAACTAGATTAAAGTTTATATTGTTTAATTCCTACCTTATTATGAGTACAGTGGGTATATTAGAAACAGGAAAAATAACACAAATATTAAATCTTAACTAGTGCAAACATTATAGAGAAGTTAATATATATGTTTTACTGAGTGGGTTTGAATAGCTCGATACATCTGACACTATCTCACCTTTATGTGACATGTGTGTTGCCGTGGAACTTCGCCGTCGTTGTCTCTGCAGCATGTACTGGTAGCCCATCCGGAACTCGGGGAACCGCCACGCGTATATAATCGGGTTACACGCACTGTTACTGTAGCCGAAACAAAACGCCTGAAAAGAAAACAGTTCAAATAATCGTTATGGGTCGCAATTGTCGAATATTTGTATTTGCAGTTTATCTTTATATTTTACAACATGCATTCTGTGGTATTGAAATACAAGACTTTAACTATGAACAGAGTACCCGTGTTCGTAAATGTTTGAATAAATACACATTTGCAATTGGAGGTCATGTTTATTATTCTTTGAAGAAGATTTTTGATAAATGAAACAGCCAGCAACGTCCATCTATATCCGAGTTTGTGGTCATGCCATCACCATTGCACATCACATCAAGGTTATAACTCCGAAGTTATGGTCTCGAAATTAATAGCCGACTATGATAGGTTCGTTGCCATGCAGCCCAATGTAGCATATACACTACTGGACATATATGTGTGTGGATTTGTTAAAGGGCACTCGACTGTTTATCAGTTAATCGAAATATATCATGATATATGTTCAGCATTAGAAGATAAACAGCAAACCTGTATGACTTTCTTTGATATATCGAAAGCCTTCGATAGAGTGTGGCACAGGGGTCTTTTAATAAAATTGCATGCTCATGGTATAAAAGGGAACATCCTATCCCGGATCCAAGCCTATCTACTGGACAGAAAACAACAGGTTAGTTTAGACAATTCTACTTCTTCTATTGGCCATTTAAATGCAGGAGTTCCACAAGGTTCTGTCCTTGATCCTCTGTTATTTTTGATATTCATAAACGACATTACAGACAATTTACTTTCACTTGCAAGAATGTTTGCTGATGACACATCTCTATCTTTTTCTTCTAACAATGCAATAGAAATAGAGCATGTAATGAATCATGACTTAGCTGTAATTGAAGACTGGGCTGACAAATAGAATATAAATTTTAATCCCTCTAAAACAGATGTAATGCTTTTTCATTGTTCTAACACTCAATTCAATATCAATTTAATATTTAATAACACATCATTGCATATTTCAGCTGATCACAAACATCTCGGGGTAACATTAAATGAAAACTGCAAATGGACAGAACATGTAAATAATATTGTCAAATCAGCCTCAAAACACATATCAGTATTACGGAAATTGAAATTTACTTTAAATAGAGATACTTTGTCGAGATTGTACATTGTTTTCATAAGGCCCCTTTTGGAATATGCTTGTGAAGTTTTGGATGAATGTAATATAATCAATTCAGATAAATTAGGAAACGTACATTAATTTACAAAATACATAATAACCTTACCCCTTCCTATTTACAGGACATTATGCCTAATCCAGTACATACTGTTAGCAATTATAATTTGCGAAATCAAAATAATTATGCAATTCCAAGAATAAGACTAACTTTATTTGAACGATCATGTATACCTGATACAATAAAACTTTGGAATAATCTTGATGTTCAAACCCGATCATGTGATACTATTTCTACATTTAGACGTAAAATTTCTTTGAAGGGAGCATGTGCTCCTAAGTTTTATTCTTCTGGTGACCGAAAGTTAAATATCCTACATACACGATTAAGGTATAAATGTAGTTCCTTAAGTGCCGATCTTAAACGTATTAATTTGATTCAGTTGCCCCAATGTAGATGATGTTTTCATGCCATAGAAAATGTAGATCATTATTTGTTAGAATGTCCCTTATGTGTTGTTTCTAGAAATGTCTTGAAACGTAAACTTACGAATTATTTAAATTTAATGAATTATCTGCAGATCTGCTGCTGTTCGGTTCTGACACGTTTTCTGAGAATGAAAACTGCACTCTTTTTTCATTAGTCTAAGACTTTATTATACATTCCAAACGTTTCGACTAATATAAATCATATTAAACTAACAAGTCATAATAAGCAATGAGGTACTACGCTGACACAGCGTATTGCATCCGCAACAGCAGGGAGCTCAAGCTCGGAATTACAACAAACAGGAACTGTGGTGTGGTACATACCCGACAAAAGTATAGACATTACATGGTGCGGTGCAATATGTGTAGAGAGATCCAGTATGTGTCAAGCGGTGTGCGGTCTACTGTGTCAATTGGTCATCACAATGCTAAATATTATGTTGGTTATTCTATTATTAAATGTATGTACACATGTACATCACTTATACTCAGTATATCATAAATTGAACCTTTTTAGGCATTATAAATCCATCGTGTCATCAATCGATCAGTAAGCATTTAAACATGCATTATATATATAACACTCTATTGTTATATGGACATGTATTATTTATATAGCACTCTATTATATACATGACCATGAATTATATAAATGTAACACTCTATTGTTATATGGACATGCATTTTATTTTATACAGACATGCGGGTACAGTCACTATATAATACGATATGTATTTTGTAAATTTTATCTCATAAGTAAGTTTTGACATTTTTCATCATCATTGTATTTCCTTAGTAATTTGCGGTCATATGGATATTTCATCATGTATGTTTTATGGGAAAAGACGGATTATAAGTTTTTAAACTTGCGCCTGATCCCATTTGTATATTTGCAAATAAAATATGTTTAAATCAAATCTGTGTGTAAAAAACTGTCTAGCTTTCTACCAAAGACCAAAAAACCCGGCATTTCATTGTTTGATGTAATTAATGGTGAACTAACTGGAATCCTGGATGTATACGATGAAGGGGTTTTTACGTATTAAATAGCAGTCAGTTCAATTGATGTTTCCCGGTCATCCAAAATAACTTTTAGACATATATATATAGATCAAATTTGAAAACCTTCGCGAATGGATTCTAAGTAGTTGTTGTTCTTCTTTATCCTGGCTTACTATGCATGTTGGCCGACTTAGAGTTGTATTCCAAATTAAACGATGTATGAAAATATATTATGTCTCATACACAACAGTTTTAAAGGGGAGATGTTTTGGTGATAAACCGATATTGTTATGGGAGATGTCTCGATATCTATCAGTGATGAGCAAGCATTTAAATGGGGTCGTCTCGGTGAGAAAGATTATATTATTGGCGTGGAACTTTGCATGTCTTCTACAGACGGAATGTGAGTCTACTATAAACACTAATCTATTTATCTCCTTACCAACACAATTATAAGCCGAAAACAGCTATACGTAAAACCCGGGGGAGCGTTATCGTGACCTTTACATTAGAACCACATTACCGACGCTGTGGATGATTTGTAGCTTACTAGGACCTCACAGTACATCTCTAACTAAGACAAATGGAGACTGAATCCGATGTTAGTACCTGCTATGCCTGCTTACGTTATACCTACCCTTTGCTAAGGGTTACAGAACCTTTTTTCACCACACGTTGGACATTACCTGGGGAGTCTGGTTATACCTCGACATTTAATGATGTCATGATAAGAACCATTCATAGGAAGAAATCGTTTCCTACAACGATACATCCTCTGATGAACAGGAAGTCTATCGTTACCTGTATATGCCCATTTACTTAAACGTTAAAAGCCTTAAGCGCCTAAAACACGCAGTTTTACCTGTAAAACACAGTATATAAAGAGGAAAATATAAAACGTACAAATAGGGCTTATTAAAATGATTTACTATTTGTTAGGGAAGTGTCATCATTGAGTAAATGAGTTGATGGTCTTTACTCCACAAGGTTGTCTGTAAGTACTGTTAGATGTGTTCTGATCGGGGAATTACTGTTAGATACCACCTATCAGAGAAACCCAACGTCTAGTGGTCATGCTATCCTATACTACCTTGTAATAGACAGATACAGTAAGGAGTGAAGAGTTCAAATTTAATCTCACTGACATTTCAAACTGAGACTTACATTACAAAGTAGTGGAAATAAATGGACAATTTTAAACCAACGGTTATATTTCCTACGATGAAGATATTTATTTATTCAAACTAAGTCGCCTACCTTTGACTCTGAACCAAAAAAAACGAATATTATATTAACAAGTTTTTAAAACTTGATTCTCCAGTATTACAAAAATATGCATTTCTTTACATACTTTTGTCAAACAATTACCGTAAAGAATGTCATAGTTTGAGATATTTATGCAAAGCGGTAGATACAGTTTTCTTTATAAACTTACAGGTTGTTATAAAAGTTATATAAATTTGTACTCATGTTTGATATTTTGGGTAACAGTAGATAACAAGAATATTGGCCCGGCAAAGTCTGAAATGTTACTTGATTCACGATAGTACCGTTACAAGTAGTGTAAGGTGTATACATGGTACTTCACATCTATTTTGTGTTACATGTCTCTCCCTATTTGTCTTCAAACAAATTACCTGATGATCTCCAGTAGAGATAAGGTAATCAATAAGTGTAGTTACACACTGTTCACATTATGCTGTTCACTCGTGCATTGCCCTGATTGAGGTCAGACCTGAGTAAGGTTAGGACCAATTTATTTTGAAACGGTTCATCCATCTTATCTGTAAAACAGTTTCCATGTAACTTGATGATGTTATGTGAAGTTTTCAATGGGAGTGTGTGTTGTGCCACGAAATGGCTGATCAGAATGTTAGGTAGGCCAAATAAACAATCTCCACAAGACACCTTGGTCCTATTCCAATTGCGAATTCATTTCGCTAGCTGTTGCAGATACTAATCCGACATAGGATTTTTTTCGATCTTTTAAAATAAGGACAATTAGCGTTGCATATATCCTGTAGTAATACTGAAAAACATATCATCATGCATCTAACGGGATTTACTTTTAAATACATTTACGGCCTGAAAAAAATATGCAAACTATTAACACTGAATTCGTTTCCCTTCTGATACAGGCTTTGTTAGAACGCCTTCTGACGGATGTAAGGTCATTAAGCGCTTTACAGTATACAACTGAAAACTAAAAAGGTATCATTTCTAGTTTACTATTTGTTTCCAAACATAAATCAATCACAGTTTACAGATTTGGTCTCGAAAAGGAGAAAGTAAAATGACCATTGCTTCAATATATCAGAAGGTGTTTTAGCTTAATTACATATTTTGTATCGTACAAGTACATTGCATTGTGATATAACGTTTCAAGCCCT